GGAAGATGGAAGGAGGGGCGCACGGAGGACATCCGCCTCCCACGCCACGTTGGGGAGCATGCAGGATGGGAGCAAACGGCGTCCTCCGTGAGTCACTTCTCTTTTTTGTACTCAGGGAAATTTATGGAGGCCGTGTGTTTGCTTAACTCCACGCTCTCCAACCAAAATACCCAATCCTGGGCTTGGATCCACAAGAAAGTTTATTCCCTGCTGCATGTGTGAGATGTTTGAAAAAATCATGGGAATCATAACATTAGTCTGAAGGCAACATCTCCATCTGCACTCCAGGTCACCATGGGAGATTTTTTAAGTAAAGCAAACCAAGCAGGCTTTTGTGTTTGGCCAAAGAGTACACTTTCCTCCTCGAGTTGCAAGCGACTCTTTACACTTCCAAATCCGAAGTACAAATTCTTAAAGACGAGACTCTGGCCCCACATTCTTCAGATGTTTGTTCACAAAGGAATACGAGGAAAAGATCTTTTACCTAAAAATGCCTCCAAAAACAGGATCAATCTGGTCGTAGATGGGCTGAGTGATGGCTTCATTCAGATCTATTCTTGCCAGAGTCCTGGAGGCATAGATGCCGTTTTTCAGGCAAACCGCCTTCAGAGTTTGGTGAAAACCTTGGTTTCCTCTACTCCTCTAGGTAAACAAACAACAGGTTAGTAGCGTTAGTAGGCGTTAACCAGACAAGCACAGGATCAGGATTGCATTGCCTTTGGCCAAAGGCTATTACCAAGAATCACAGTAGCAGCAACAGAATCTTTTAACTCATGACTAAGCTAGACAGAGAGGGTAGCAGTCGTGTCTTACGTCGGTGGGGTGCCCTGTCCTGGGTTTGCAAAGCGCCCTGTAGTCACTCTGCTCACAGCTCTTCTCATACAGGGTTGCATTTGTCTGTTTATTCATTAGGCTCCTCTACTGGACCATCAGCCCGTTGAGATCAGGCTCAGTGTGTCTCATCCAATACCCTGATGTCCTTGCCATCTGGCAAGGGCATAAGGAGTGCTTGGTAAATATTTGTTAAATGAGCAGTTATTAAATGAAAATGTGCTACGACCCTACTGGGAGTATCTGTTTCAGATTTTTGCAAGTATAGTCCAAGTTTTTTTTTATACTTTTTGTTAAATATTTAATGAAATGCAATTTGATTTATGTATCGTTGCAATATTTTTTCCCAGAGAAATAAGTGCACAAATCAGAGGGGAAAATATCACGAAGCTAGAGTTATAAGAGACATTGATAAATTTTAGCCAGATGGTGATCCTCAATAAAGAGAATAAAAACACATTTACACTGCCCTGGGTGGGTAGCTCAGCTGGTTGGAGGGTCATCCCATATACCAAAAGGTTGTGGGTTTGATTCCTGGTCAGGGCACATACCTCGGTTTTGGGTTCAATCCCCAGTCAGGGCATGCATGGGAGGCAACCGATCCGTTTCTTTCTCACATTGATGTTTCTCTCTCTCTCTCTCTCTCTCTCTCTCTCTCTCTCTCTCTCTCTCTCTCCTTCTCTCTCTCTTCCTCTCTTTCTAAAAATCAATAAAAGCCTATCTCGGATGAGGATCTTAAATAATAATAATACATTTGCACTAACCAAAATTTCAGTAGTGGGCTTTGGGATCATTATTCAATGATATATGTTTTAAGGGAATATCTTTCAAGTGAATGGCTGTGTAGCATGATACAACTGGCATCATTCTAACCATCTATCTGTCTGTCTATCTATCTATCTATCTATCTATCTATCTTATTAGTCTTCCCTTTTCACTTATACTATAACATGAGCATTTCCTTAATTCATTGTACATACTTAGAAAAAAATCATTTTAATAACCACATAATACATCCTATGGACATATCATAGTTCATTTTACTATTCTCTTGTTATTAGATATTTGGGTTATTTTACTATGTTATATAATGACATGATGTTAACATATAGATGTTTGCCCAAACTTCTGATCACAAAGGCAAGGTGCTATCAAATAGGAACACCTAGGGTATGCTGATAGTCACAGAGAAAGAAGCTGATGAGAGAAGGGACAATTCATGGGATGAGGACCTGGTGACGCCTGACGATGGAGAACACGCTCCTTCCTTCCACAAGCAAATGGTCTCTTACCTACCTCCTGCTATGAAACCAATGACCCCAAACTTGGTGGCTTAAAACAACAATAAACATCTCTCCTCTCTCACAGATTCTGTGGGTCGGGAATTCAGATTGGTGTTGGCTGGCTCGTGTTTCACAGTTCGCTTGGTGGCCAGGCTGTGCGGCCAAGGTTAAAGCGCAGATAAGTGCCACCAGAGAAGAGACCAGTGCAGGATTCAAGGTCACGGAGGTCAGATAACATGCACACCAGGCTCAAGTGGTGCAGTGTTTACTTACAGCAAGAGGAGGGGACGTGTGCACAAGATCCAGCCGGCCTCTGGCAGTCCCCCAAGGCCAGCAGATCCACTCCCCAGCTGATGCAGGTGCTATAGTTGCACGCAGCCCACTTTATGCTGCAGCAGAAGATCCCACCCCCTCCCACGGTTCAGAAATACAGAAAACGGGGGCTTGCCCGGGGGCCTCTGATGCCTGTCCTAAGCAGAACAAAGGAGTACACACTGAACACGAAATGGAAAGATATCCCCACACAAGCAGAGAAGCCCAGCACAGGCTGGGAGGGTCTTCATCTCCTGGTAGGAAGCGTTCCAGGCCCAAGGCCCATTCTTATGTGGCCAAGTGAGTGTCCAAAGGCTGCACGTACTAGCGGGCCTTTCCCAACGCCGGCCAGTCTGTCTCAGGGCTTCTCCATGAGGTTCTGTCAGGTGTCGGCTGGGATCATGGTCACCTGTCTGGGGCTAGAGAATCTGCTTCCACGGACGCTCACTACAGGGCGGGGAAGGTGGTGCTGGCTGTGGGTGGGGACCTTGGCCCCTTTCCACATGGGCCTCTCCACACAGCTGCTTGGCTTCAGCACAGGGAGGCTGGCTCCCCTCCGAGCGAGTGATCCAAGACACCAGCGTGGAAGCCTCAGCGGCCCTTGATGACCGAGCCTCAGAAGTCACACACTGTCCCTTCGGCAGCACCCTGCTGCCCACAGAGGCCAGCTCTGTCTGCGTCAGTGAGGGGGAGACTCCCCAGGGCGTGAATACCGGGGTGAGGCTCCCGCGGGCCATCTCGGAGGCTGCCTATCACAGTCACCAATGAGCACTCTCCATGGTCAAATCCATTGCCTTTTTATCACCCCGATTTCCCTCAGGAGTATCTAACACTCTCCTAACAACAGATGTGTGATCTTTCCTGCTTAGTTTTCTTATTAGAAAATAAGAACTTACGCTTTACATTACAAATAGTACAAAAAATAAGAATATAAGCATTACACGATTTCCCCTTCTCCTACTACTTCTCAGACTCATCGTTCTCTGCCCCCTCTCCTGGCTCCGTTTTATTCTGCTCCCTCAATGTGGCCTTTGTTTGAGGTTATATCGTATTATTGTCCTTCTCTCTATTCTTCAATACCTTTCACTCCTATAGGTCTGAGTATCAATTTTCTGCAGGTGACTACCAAGTCCCGACCTTGGGGATCAGACAGACGTCACCAGACACCACAGGTTTTCCCCGGAAAGGGTCACTCACCACCAGACATGCCCCGAGGATCCGTCGGTAGGAAGTCCTGGCATTTCTGACCCCTTCTTGCAGAGGCCGGGCGATGTGGGCAAAGCACTGGTCGATGGCCTTCTCCAGCAGCTGTATTTTCTCCTCCACAAATCTCCGCAGGCCACTCAGGTGCAAGTGTTCGTTCTAGGGACAGGGTCATAAGGAGCATGAGGCCACCCCCACCCTCCAAGGCACTTTCTCCTCAAATGTTGCTTCCTTTAAGCATGATTCAGCCTGAGCAAACCACCCACGGTTGACTTCTCCTTATCCTCCAGTGAATGAACATCCTTAAGCTTTGAGGGACTGGAGAATAGAACAACTGCATGCCTCCTGCAACTTACCTTAAGTGTACAATCCATTAGGCTATGTGGGGGAGCAACTATCCAAATAAAAACCCAATTGTTGCCCTAACCGGTTTGGCTCAGTGGATAGAGCGTCGGCCTGTGGACTGAAAGGTCCCAGGTTTGATTCCAGTCAAGGGCATGTACCTTGGTTGCGGGCACCTCCCCAGTAGGGGGTGTACAGGAGGCAGCTTGTCGATGTTTCTCTCTCATCAATGTTTCTAACTCTCTATCCCTCTCCCTTCCTCTCTGTAAAAAAATCAATAAAATATATTTTAAAAAAATTAAAATCCAATTGTTACTAAAACAAACTTTTCCAATGACATCTGAATCAACACACATTGAATGAGCTTTGACTTTGCACAAAGCAGTTTTGGAGGCTGGTGTTTCTCAAACTTTAATGTGCAAATAAATCCCCAGGAGAATTTGTTCAAGTCCGAGGGCCTGGGCTTCTCTATTTCTAAAACCCCCAGGGGAGGCGGATCTTCTGGGCCCTGGACCACACTTTGAATAACAAAGCTACAGGACCAAAAATAAGGCTCCGTCCCTTCTTCAAAGGAGAATACAGTGTAGTCAGGGAGGAAAATATCTATTCAAGTAATAAAAGGGAGGGACCACCAGGGACAGCCTTGGACTTTAGGTTCAAACTGGGAACCGTAGTGTCTGTTCCCTGTGTGAGAACCTTGGGGGATGTGCAGCAGGCAGAAGCCACACTCTTTGCTTGGCACTAACGGCCTTCAGAGCCAAACATGCCATTACTTTTGTGACCTCATGCCTTTGCCCATGCTGTTCCCACCTTCTCATCCTTCCAGACAAAGCTCAACAGTCACCTCCCATGCGATGCCTTCCCTGACTCCCCCAGGCAGAGCTGGGGCTCCCTTCCCCACGCTCCCTGCATTTCGGACATCCCTGCACCACAGCATCCCTCCTGCTGTGCCATGTCTCTCATCCCACGTCTTCTCCCCTGGACTAGGGACTTGCTGAAGGGAGAGACTACGCTATTCACGTTTGTTTATTCCAAGGCGAGGCACAGAGAGCGCAGTCCACAAACATTTATGGAGTGAATGAGTAGCACGGAGAACTATGGATAATGTAGGTTTATCGATTCTATCCCAAACCTGATGGAAGAAATAGCTCTTGGATTGATGTGTGACCTTAACAGAAAACTTAGCGTCTCTGCATCTCGATGGCACCGTCTTTGAAATAAGTAGATGGGGCTGAATGATCCTGAAAACGGCCTCAAACTCCCACACCCTGTGAGTCTTAGAGTTGATGAGCCTTAGAGTTTAAGGACCCTATTTAGCTTTAGGCATGCCTTGGGGATTTTTGTGGTTTCACTGGTAAGAATTCTATAAGCCATAGTTTTATTTTAGTCTCTGGTGCCTCTAGATT